GGGGAAATTTCTCAACAGACAGGTACTTTCTCTCTCTCTTTACACACATGCACACACACACAAAGAGAGTAAGGTGTAGTCAGGTGTTCCTCATATTTAGAGTAGAAAAAGTTAATGTCATGAATGTCCATATGAATTTAAAATGATTTCTAGGTAGCTTTACATCAACTAAAATAGTGTAGCATGACGCATGAAAAATGTAAATATGGTCCCAGCCATAATAGTACATATTTTAAAACTCCAGGCATTTTTGCAAAATTTTTGACTTTGATCCAGATATAGGCAAAGCTAAATAGGGCATGTTAGGTATTACATACTTCCTATTTAATTTTAATTATCTTCATCCTGCCTGCTGGATAATGGCCCTCCCCTAGCACATATTCTGTTGTGTAATTTGCATATAAGAAGACCTAAAATGTAGCTCTTCTGGAACAGTGATAAAATTTAGCTAGTAAAAAGTTCTCATTTGGTCAGCATTCTGCCTTTACAGTTTTCTTTCTTAAAAAGTAAACATTCCTAGGTTAACAAATGTCCCCAAACTAGCATAAGCATACTTTTAGTGCTCACAAAAGACCCCAAAGAAAGGTACAAAAGAAAGTTTGTTCAAGCCATCTGAATCTCATTGGAAAGCCAAGAGTCTGAGCTACAAACCTCCAGCAAGCAGAAATAAAATCATTTGGGGGGAAAGGTTATTTATTTATTTATTTATTTATTAAAACATTTTTATGCTGCCCCATTCGCCGAAGCCTCGGGGCGGCTTACAACAATAAATAAAACCACATAAATTAAAATATACATATAGAATAATAATAGTAATTTAAAACACACAATATAAAATAAGCCGCCCTGGCCAGATCAAATTCAGAAGTATTAACATTTAAAATGTTGCTTAAATAAAAAGGTCTTTGTCTGGTGCCGAAAAACTGGTTAATGCTGGTTTAAAGTTTGAAAATCAACATTTGGTTAGGCAGGTGTTGTTGCTATGAATAATTACAATAAATATCAAATCTTAAATAAGCTCTACTAGTTGAGACCTGAAATTCATTGTTATACTGATTCAAACCTCCTGGAAGAAATATTTAGCCAAACAAAGGCTGTTCCAGATGCAGCATTTGCTTTGCCTGAAGCAGTTTTGTGTGGGTTCAAAAATGACCTCTTTTGAAACTAATGCTAGGTGAATGAATTTCAGTCTAAATATGCATAGGATTGCACTTTAAAACTGAATTGTACCCTTTGTTTCTCAGTAATTTCCTGGGAAACTGAATAACTAGGGATTTTTCATTCCCAACTGTTGAATTCCGCATTTTCACATAACATATTTTCAGCTGGAGGATCTTATCTCCGTGAACTTTTCTACAGATCTTCACTCAGTTCTTATCTGAATCCTTAATGCTCATCTCAAGAGATTGCTAAGAAAGCAAATGGATAGGGTTTCTATGTACCCAAAACATAGGAATTGATCCTAACCTAAAGTACTGCAAAATGCTCAGTTGGAATGCAACAAATTATTTTAATAAAAGAATTAGCTTCTTCATCAGGACTAACATGACCCAGTATTTCAGGCTAGTGAATAAGCATCAAACTGTATAGTATGTTACACAAGTGAAAAAAGTTGCAAGTCTTGGCATTGTTCTGCTAATAGGTGCACTATTTTAAGTGAAACTTGTCATGCAAGCAGTGGCTGATCCAGTGTGTTCATTATGAAAATGTTTTCCTCCTTCTCTCAGACAAGAGAAAGCTGCACAAAGTGCCAAGAGGACCATTATCCAAACAAAGAACAAAATAAATGCCTTGCTAAGGTAGCAACGTTTTTGTCTTACAATGCAAGATTGGGGATGAGCTTAGGCATTTCCACTGTGTTATTTTCTTTGATCACATTGCTGGTGCTAGGGACCTTTATAAAGCATCACAACACTCCCATTGTCAAGGCCAACAACCAGTACCTCACCTACACCCTCCTCATCTCTCTCCTGCTCTGTTTCCCCTGTACTGAAAAGATGGTGTGTCTCCTCCGTCAAACAGCATTTGGCATGGTTTTCTCCCTGGCTGTGTCTTGTGTGCTAGCAAAAACCATCACTGTGGTTCTGGCTTTTATGGCCACCAAGCCAGGAAGTAGCATGAGGAAATGGGTAAGAAAAAGGCTGGCCAACTCGATTGTTCTTTTCTGCTCTCTTATTCAAGCAGGAATTTGTACTGTGTGGTTGACTACCTCTCCTCCTTTCCCAGATATTGAGGTGAATGCAGAAGCAAAAGAAATTATATTGATGCGCAATGAGGGGTCGGTAACTATGTTTTATTGTGTTCTGGGCTATTTGGGCTTGCTGGCTTTTGTGAGCTTCCTTGTGGCTTTCCTAGCTAGGAAGTTACCTGACACTTTCAATGAAGCCAAGTTCATCACTGTCAGCATGCTGGTGTTTTGCAGTGTGTGGCTGTCCTTTGTTCCAGCCTACCACAGCAGCAAAGAAGTGTGTATCATGACTGTGGAAATCTTTTCTATCTTAGCCTCCAGTTCTGGACTGCTGGGTTTCATCTTTTTCCCTAAGTGCTACATTATTTTACTGAGACCAGAACTAAACAATAGAAATCAGCTAATAAAAAGAAACTGTGTTAAATGAGGAACATAATTTTCTGATTTTCACTGAGGTGTTTAACTTATGGTACCCTGAAACTGAAGCCCAGTAATCTGCAAAGTTGTGTCGTGTGCGCTGACTCAGAAGAGTCCTTATCTCTTGTGGAGGAGAGGGAAACTTCCCTTGGGAACCAGACTGCATTGCAGGAAGATGTATATTTGGTGCCAGTGGTTCAAAGTCACCCCCCATGAAGCTCTTCAAAGAGAAGAGGGCACAGATGGAGGTAGGATTCAGGAGGAAACCGAAAATGTATAGCAGTTGGAGGTCTGTTGGGAGGTTGCCAAGGGAACAGTTGAGGCACCTGCTGATAGCACTCTTGAGAATGCAGGAGTCAGCCATGACTCAGAAGGGGAGTTGGCAAATGCACATTCTTGCAGACTCATATGCAGATTAGGGCAATTGGAGACAAGACAGTTGGAACAACGGAGGGAGAGAAGTTTTTTGGATCCTCCCATCAAGGGACGGCCCAGGCGAGTTAAAAGTATTCTGTGAACTGATCTCATTCAGAAAGAGAGGGCAACTTCTTCATCATCATTAGCATCATCATTGTCTCCCATGTCTCCCATGGTTGTAATTGATAACTTTATGTAGAATAATGATTTTAGTAGCAACAACTGGGTTCGTTGCTTTCATTGGGAAGGAGTGCCAGCCTCACGACAAGTTGCATAAAATGCTTGTACAAAATAACAAGCTTGTGTTATGCTGGAAAGTATAGAAGTGTTCCTAATGATGCAAAAAGTGGTACACTCATCTCAGTCTGCTTTGAGGATGGTGCTCATCTTCAGAGATGCTCTGGACTACTCACAATTCTTGGTTATCATCTATCTCAGCGTCTACAAGTTATTTTCTGAATGATGACATATCCATATCCTTCTATCCATATCTAGGTTTTGCCTATGCTTCTGACTTTAACCATGAATAACATAGGCATGAGACTCTTCAAATACGTACTGATCCTGCTTTTGCTCTTTCAAAACGGTGTGGTTTGGTTATTTTTGTACTACATAACTTAAAAAAGTCTTCGCATCCATGAACAATGATTACATTGGAAAATGAAAGAAAGTTTGAAGGTCTTCCACCATTTTGCTTACATTATTCCACCTACATGTTTGCCCTTTCTGCATCTTGTGGACCTTCCTCTCTAGCCATGCAACCGTCTTTTCTAAAGATCTCACTGGGAAGACATGAAAGGAATAAAGGAGTTTTTTATCAGAATAGATGCAGACTGGGAAAAGGAAAGAAAACTTGTTTTGCATAAAACTGCATGCAAATCATGCCTGCAGAGATATACATCAAGTCAGCGGTTAATTTGCTACCTCCCCCATGCCCCATGTGGTTTGTTTCTGAAAGGATTCTTTTCCTCCCCTTCCTCCTCCTAGCCCCTCTGCCTTGTTGATGTTTGAACCACAACTCTCTATATAGGTCATAATGATCCCAAATGCTCCTTTCCCTTCATTAAGTGGGTGGGGAAAGATGAGGCCTAATAAGCATTCCATTTTTCCATTATTGTGCTGTACATGGTAAAACTCACCATACCATTCTCTGGAATTATGACTTTAAACTCAGTAATTGCCTCAGATTGCTAGGATAGGTGTTTCATCATGCCAACCTCATAATTATTTTCTCTTTTATTGACCATGTTCCTAAACAATAATAGACTTTGCACACTTCTACAAAATCTCCTTGTGCTATCAAAAACATACGTCATACACTGTGAAAGACAAGGCTGCATCCCTTTGATCTTTCACATTATCAGAGGTTTCTATTGACACTGAAGACATGCTAGCATAACTGGTAACCATGGATTTAGTTCACTCCACATTTTCAGGTGAGACAAAGCAATTTGCATTTCCTGTACCAGTATGTGGAGTGGAATCTGGCAGGCCTTTGGATCATGCACCTATCTTTCTTTTGCAATTCATTCTTGGCTTAAAAACATCTACATACATTACATAGAGAGGGAAATGCATACAAAGATGTGTGATTTAAGTGAAATGGATTTCTGTTAAGGAAAGATACAAAGAAAAAGGAAGTGCATGGAAACATGCATAACATGGGGACTGGTAAGTTCAATTTTTTAACCTGTGGGTGTCTTAATTTTGCAGGGTTATGCTGAAATGAGATGTTACTTATTCATGACTGAACACATGTGAACCTGACACAGTCCAGAGGCAGACTAATCTGTCCATTACTACTGGTGACAGATCGTGGGTTAGAAGGAATTGGGACATGCTGTGTTAAATGGAAGGGTTATATCTGCTTCAGTTGCTTCTCTGTGGTCTTCTACATCTACCACAAGCTACACACAGGACACAAACTGCAATCTGCATCATGCCTGATCTCTTCCAGATCCCATATAAGTATTGTAAAATGGGTGACATAACCATTGGAGAGATTACAACACAGTTTGACTTCCTATTTGAAACGATATCCTTCCTTGAGCACCCCCAAACCAATCTTGAAAATGAACTCATGTAAGGCAATATATGTTTCCCATGATATGCATGAAAATGCACTAGACTGGGACAAGATAATTGCAACAAATTCATGTGAATACATGTAGTGGGACTTTATGTAATTGATTTTATTTAACACAGTAATGCCTGGGTCAACTGTCCATCGCTCCATAGTCTCAAATTGTCCCTGTTTTGTTTATTCCACATAGATAAGATTTGCAGGCATAGCATACCTTTATAGGATAATAAGTCAGCAGGGTAGCAGGTAGGCTCAGTGTTTAGGAAATGCTGGTTGGATTTTTTTTTAACTTGTCAGGTTTTGATAGAATTTCTTGCCTCTTCTAAAATGATATAAACTTACAAGTTTCAGATGAATACATGTAGAAAGATTTTGTGCAAGAACAATCTTTACATTTTGAGGGTATCTAAAGGAGTATATAATTATCCCACTATGCTCCTTGTTTCAATTTTGTCTGAAAATGGAGGGTGTGGGTCAAAATAAGAATAATGCAAAGTGTCAGCATGACATGTGCAGTGGTTTGCCTTGAAGGAAAGTTCATATATGGTGAGTTATTCTTTTTCCTTTCTTTCTACTCCCCCTCACCAGTGTTTTGGGGCAATTTGTATGAAAATGGAACACATCACTGCAAAGGTTCTGAGTGGTAAGTGCACCAGGCTAGAGAATTGTGCTGGTTGAAAATTGCAGCTGCTTCTCACTGAAGCCTTTTCCAAAGAACAGTGCTGGAAAAAAGCCTCCAGTAATGTGCCCTGTAAGTTGGAGATGGACGTCTTAGTCATTCACAACCCCGTCATTGCTTAGAGTAAGAAAATAGAATATGTTCTTTATAGTGACACAATGTCTGATTTTCAATGTAAAATCTGTGAATGAAGATTATGACAGGTCCTACATTGCTTATGGTTACTTTGGAGAGAAATGATTTCTGGAGACACAATAGAAATGTTCCACATAGTCTTATTTCAGCTTGTGTCTTTGGTTGAACTTATTTGGCTTATCTTATTTATGATGCATCTTTTTCCTTCAGTGCAATGACAAAAAACTACCAGCATGTCCTTTCACTGGTACTTGCTGTGAAGCAAATCAATGAGAACCCTAATATCCTACCAAATTTGAGCCTGGGGTTCAACATCTATGATACTTACCTGAGTGCAAGGATGGCACATCAAAATACCTTGAAGCTTCTCTCCACTGAAAATACAATTGTTCCCAATTACAACTGTGACCGGCCAAGTAATATGAAAGCCGTAATTGGGGGACACAATGCTGAAATCTCTCTTCATATGGCTACTCTCTTAGGCATCTACAAACTTCCACAGGTACAACAACTATGCAGACTCTGGAAATTTATACTGTAACATAGGCAGAAACATCACTCCTTCCTTCCTTCTTTTCCTCCTTCTCTCCCCCTCACAGGACAGTACAAAGCAATAAACATTGGGCTCATGCACTAATACTAAATTTAATATGACCTAACCCTAACCATAATATTATATGGAATTGTTCCCTTGCACTATGGTCTTATGCAAACTTACTAGGAGAAGCCATCTCCTGGGAAAGTGGCATAGCAGTAGATAAAAGTGGCCACTAGGATGTTTTCCAGCCCAATGGTAATTGCTATCAGGCTAAGAAGCACAAAGGGAATGGGCCTCCATAAATGTTAGGTTCCTGGCTGTGGGAAATACATTTGTTGCCCTTGTGGGGCACTTTAAAATGGATTTTAAAGTCTGGTGTTTTTATATCTTTTTATTCTTATGAATTCCAAATTGTCCTAGGATTTTAAAATGGCTCTGATTTCAATGTTTCTGGGGGTTTTTATTTCATTTTCTTGCATATTTTTGACCATGCAAAATGATTTGACAGTGTTGTGAAGCAGTAAATACATTCATACTTTTCAAACACAGTAATACATAAGCTACCAATGCATTGTCTCAGTGAATAAAGTATTTAAAATAAATTTATTTTGCTTAGATTGCCTACAGCGTATTATCTCCAGCAGCAGATGTTAAAATGATTCTCCCTTCTTTTTATCGGATGATCCCTAATGAAGCCAATCAGTACACAGGGATTGTCCAGCTGCTTCTTCATTTCCAGTGGATTTGGATTGGGGTCATTGTATCAGATGATGATAAAGGAGAACAATTTCTGCAGCAGTTGTTACCCATGCTAAGCCAACAGGGAATCTGTACACCTGTCATCAAAAAAACAGTAACCCTATCAGATGTGTTAAAGAGCTCAGAATCATTAGAAATTCTTCGTGCTCTTGCCATTTCATTAGCAGATTCCACTGTCAATGTGTTTGTTGTAAATGCAGAAGTTCAAACAATTTCATGCTTGAAATGGCTGATTTATCTTTGTAAAGCATTGGAAGATATTCCACAGACATCTATAAGCAAGGTGTGGGTTTTTACAGCCCACTGGGATTTCTCTGCAGAAACGTTTCACAGGGATTTTGATATAAATGTCTTCCATGGTTCTTTATCTTTGGCGATTCACTCAGTTGAAGTGCTGGGATTTAGAGAATCCCTGCAGCACTTACACCCTAACTTTCCAAAGGGTGATGGGTTTCTCAGGATCTTCTGGGAACAAGCATTCAATTGCCTATTTTCTGATTCATATGAAGGCATTGAAAATGCTCGTGCTTGTACTGGGCAAGAGAAGCTGGAGAACCTCCCTGCGACAGTTTTTGAAATGAGGATGACTGGCCAAAGCTACAGTATCTACAATGCAGTCCATGCCATAGCATATGCTTTGCACAAGCTGTTCTCATCTACAGTCAAAGGCAATAGAGTTGGATTGGATCCCTCAGATCTACAACATTGGCAGGTATTGTTTCACATCTGGACTGTTCTCCTGCCATGGCTAATTTAATTTGTAATAGCTGTTTATGCAAGAAGGACACCAAGAGATCAGCAGTTTCTCACCAAATTTCCTCTCAGAAAAATTTCACTTATCCTCCACTCTCACATAGATACCTTTCATCTTCCAGTAGCTGAATGTCTATGAAGCTTCAGTCTATATGTATAGATAGATAATGGATGGCTCAATCAATCGATCAATCAATCTATTGATTCTGTTTAGAGCAGCTTATAAGGAAAAAATGTACTTCCAATGCCTCACAAGTGTCCATTCATTGATTCAGATTTTGTCATCAGAATGTCTTTCTACTTGCACTAATTTGCATTATAGTTAAGTACTTTGTGCTAATGTGTTCATTTTAATTCCTCTTCACTGAGAAAACAGTTCAGAATATATACAACTGAGGAAAACACCAGTTGGCCTCTTGCTGGAATTTATAAAAGTCTGGACTCATTTGAAACTGCTGGAAATTTCACCTCCATCTATAGCCCAGGGACATCCACAGAGCTTGGATGATCCTAAAACATGCATAAAATATGGCTGTGAGTTGCCACCATGCCCCCATTCTCCCACCAGTGAAGTCCAACCTAAATTAATTGCTTGAGTAGGTCTAAAATGTCCTTTCATACCAACCATTTGGGCAAAATGGCTTGGAGATATGGGCAAAATTATGTAAGTTTTCATTAAAATACAATTGAGTTTATTCAGAAAGACTCATGTTTTGCTTTCCAGTATTCCTTTTTTTAATTTTTTTTAATTAAGATTTTAAACTAAAACTACACATATCAATCATCACACACATCAGATTTACTGGGTCAGCCCCCTACAACATGTCTTTTAACATTCTATGATCATACTATAATCCTTTTATAATAACATGAAAACATCTTTAGATCAAAACCAAGTCCCGTTTCTCCAGCCAAATAAAAATGTAATTCCAAATTTGATAGAAGTCACTATCTTCCTTCTTCCTTCTTCTTTATTGCTAAAATCAATCCCATCTTTTCTTGCAAAATCCTGTTTCTCTTGACCATTATTTAAGGGAAGCTTCTCCAGGTTGGCTGAAATTGCAGCATCTTCTTTCTTATTCAGTGATAGATTTCATCTAAACATTTCTGAACAATTCAAAATCTATCCATTTTTCTTATAAAAAATAACTTCCTCACTACCACAATTACTAGTAACTCCAAAAGGATCTATTTGACATCTCAAAGGGCATCCTAACTACTCTGCTTAGTGATAACTTTAAGCCAATTTTCTTTAAACTCACTAATGTTTCATCTAACTTAAACTCCATTTAATCAAATATGGTTAACTCCATACAGTATCACATATAAATTTACCAACCCATATAAATCATTCAAATTTTTTTAAATAGTAAGTTCTATTTTCAATTTCAGATATAATCAGAGATATCCATTTAACAATGTTTCATTAAGCTAGGTTGTTAAGTTTTCACCAACCATCAATTAGCCTTTCTGTATCTCATGTTCACATACCAGCCTATTTAAATCATCCCTTTTTAAGATGAAAAGAGGAACAAAGAGAAAGAAAGAGAAAAATCTTTACAGTTACCAATAATATCAAAAGCATCCATTTGTCATCTCTAAAAATGGCTTAACATCTCTATTTGGTGACTATTAATACCTATAATGAATTCTCTTATTTTCAGGTACAGATAAAATCAAAAACATCCACTTAGCATCTTTAAAAGCACCATAAATTAGTCTATTTGGTGGTAACTAATACCTATAGTATCTTTTAGCTGAAATTTCTTTAAACTAAATTACTGATGCTTCACCCAGAACAGTAACTTAGCTTTTCTACGTTACATATGAGCATGCCAACCTCTATGTGTCACCCTTTTTTGAAATAACAAGAAAGAAAGTTCTCTTATCTTCCCTTTGGTTTTTTTTTTTTTTTTACACCTCTACCAAACCTTTCTGTTTTCTTTACATTATAACATCGTAATATCTGTAGTAGAATTTTCAAATGTAGCCACATAAACAAAGCCTCTCTTAAATGGTTAACTGTTTTCTCCTTCTCCAACATAGCAAGCAAATCCAATAACCTCATACTGATTAGCTTCACAGATTGTGCCAACTTTTCCGCTTGCACAAAAAAAATGCCTGTAATAAATCATGTAATAAACCATGTCCACCCATTGCTTCTTTGTTTACATTAGAATATCATAGTGTCTGCAGTAGATCATGTTTCTTGGACTGTAGCCCAGCTGTCTTCTCTTTTTCCAACTTAAAAAGCAAATCACATGGAGGCTTATTTATTCCTGATGTTTCCAAATAGCCACCTGCTTGTTGTCCATTTACAACCCATCCCATAATAATTTACTCTCCAAATATCCATCTGCTTGTTGTCTATTCATAGGCCCATCCCATAATAATTCACTTGTTTTCTTCTCAGTTTCAAATTTTTCTTCTGCTTGCTGGATATTTTGCATATTCTGCTCAGGTACAAATCGTTTGTCAAAGCTTGATTAATAGAAAAAACTAACTTATCAAAGCCAACTTTTGATTCAATTAGGAAACAGTCAAGTTTTTTAATTAAAACAGTCTTCTGTTGCAGTATTATTGCCTGTTGAGATCACAGCAAGGCTGCTAAAGAGGTCTGTATATCCAAAAGTGTTTTTTGAATTTCTTTAATTTCTTCCATATTAATTTCTTCCATATTGGCAGTGATTTCACAGCCTTGGCAGGGGTCCAAGAGTCCCAGGAACAAAGGCATAAAGATGGCTGTTATTTTGGAAGTAGTCCAACACACAAAAAGATTACTTCTATCATTCCATTAAACATTAATTTATTGTTTTAGTTCTTGCCCTTGGAGAGATTGAAGAAGAAAAAAAAAGATCTTTTCTTTACTTACAAAGAGCTCTGTCTCTCTCTCTCTCATGTAATTCACCACCTTTCAATTCTGTGGGGGCGGGGGGAAGAATTCTTTCCCTCCTCCATCTAAAGGGCTTTCTGTTTCTTCTTTTATATCAATTAGCAAACAATGCAGCTTTTTCCACGGGTATCATTGCAAAAACAAAAAAAGAAATAAAAATAGTTCCCAGTAGATCTCATGCTAATAGTTAAAGTAGACTGAACGAAAAAAATATGCCGAGGACTTACAGAGAGCTGAGATCGTTCCTGTACCATCCAGCTGAGAAAAGCTTGATTTTCTCCCAGTAAGCACAGAATTGCCATTGAAACACCTGCTGGGAACTTTGCCAAGCAATCTATCTTCACCCCTACAGGGTTTAGATTGGGCCTTCACAGCCCACCACCGGACAGTTACCAGCATGATAACGGAGCCCCGTTAATCACATCTGTCTCATCCCGATGCCATACTTCTCTTTCCAGTATTCCTGGAGAGGGTCAGCAGCTGCTGAATACTGGCATGGAAAAGGCATTTTATTATTTTAATGCAAACTTACATTATTGTGTGTCTTTAAACAAATGTGCAATTGGAAAGTTATTTCTTGAAACCCAACTTTTTCATATTTTTCAGTGGAGTTTTTTTTTAATCATATCATAGGAGAATGTGCACACCAACATTGATGGATTGTGAAAAGGCACATTTAATAGTGAGGAAGGCATTGTATTGGCACAACACATTAGAAAAAGTATAAAAATATGTGTTGAGTCACATGAAATTTTTAGTGCAGTTTAAACATTTTAGTGCAGTCCTATCACAATGTCTATAAGTTTGAAGTCAGAGAAGTATGCATGTCTGATGCAGACTGGGAGAAGACAACCATGGTTATCTTCTGGTCCTGCTGCTTTGCATTTTAACTCAATGGGCATTTGTGGTCAACTTTCAGGGAAGGATGCATCTTCAGAATACCCTATATTCTGGTCTCTGTGGTCTCCTCTTCTCCCTGTCTGCTTAAAGTCTCCCTTTCACTTTCTCCAAGGTCACTTGCTCAACTTTTCTCACCACCAGCTGTAAAGGAGTGGGGTGGAGATTCTGATTCCCAGCTTGGTGACCAGAGCCTAACTTATAGCTTTTTAGATTCTACCTATAAATTCAATGGATTGTTCCTTAAAGGTGCAGTGTTGACACCGCCATTACTTTGTAAAATATGTGTTTGTTTCAATGTAGCTCCACCCTTTCTTGAAAAGCCTCTCCTTTAACAATATTGCTGGTGACTTAGTGTCTTTTGATGAGAATGGTGAATTAGCAGCTGAATTTGATGTTATAAACTGGGTTACTCTTCCAAACAATTCATTCTTAAGAGTAAAAGTTGGAAGGATGGATTCAAGGATCATGGGTCAAATGTTCACAATTAATGAGGAAACCATCGTGTGGCATAGTTCATTTAATCAGGTGGGGAACATAAATGAATTCTAAGCTGCAAAGCTAATTGGGAAAGTATTCTAGTCCCTCTACATGCTGACTCAACTTTTTCAACTGAACTCAGGACTGACCAAATGCTTTCCCCCATTTCAAAAGGGGTGACATTTATCTGTGTCATGTTGTTTTAGTTTCACACAATAGATCTAACTCAAGACATTCATTTTGTGAGACTTATATTTTGTGAGAACCTAACAAAAGTTCATTATATATATGAATATATATTTGGTGTGGATCTGGATCCAGAATATTTGCTTGGGTCATAACTGGATTTCGTGGCACTTTTTATCAGCTCAGGATGATTTACCAACTATGACCCAACTGGACAAACAGAGCTGATCTATGATAATCTCTCATTTGGACTACTGTACATGGGGCTGCATGCTCTGGAAACTTTGGTCAATCCAAATAGGGAAGTGTGGTTATTAACAGGAACTGTCCTAGGAGATTATATTGTGCCAGTCCTCTTTCAGCTGCGCTGGTTGCCAGTTGAAGTCCGGGCCCAATTCAAAGTGGTAGAATTATCTAAAGCCCAAAACAGCTTGGGGCCAGGTTATCTGAAGGAGTGTCTCATTCTGTATGTACCTACTGGGGCCCTCAAGTCATCTTTTTGAGACCTTCTCAGGGAATCCCCTCCAAAGGAAGTCAGGGAAGTGAGAACCAGAAGAAGGGCCTTTTCAACTGTGGCACCTCATCTCTGGAGCAGGCTCCTCAAAGAGGTGTATAGGGCAACTGCTCTTTTTTCTTTTCAGCACCAGGTGAAAACCTTTTTATTCTGGTAATTTAAGTCTTCCTGTAACCTTACATATCAGGAGAAAGACTGGGAAAATATGAGCCTGTTGATTATTGTGTTCTCTTGATCATTTTTGATATTTTTGGCCATAGTATCCTTAAAGGACAATTGTCTGCATTGGGAATGCATCCAGGTACTGTAGTCTTCACTCCTGCTTAGATGGCACTCTTGGACTTGTGCATTGCCTAATATGGGATTTGACAGTAGTTATTTTGTCCCTTATACTATTTCAAATGGAGCAAAGACATTTTGCTTCTGGCTGTTCCCAGATCCCTAAATCAGGAGTTCTGCTTTACAGAGGTTTTCCTTAGCTATGTCTCACCTATGTTAAGCCTTATTCTGTTTGAATAGACCTAGCATATGCCTATTTCCAAACTTCAAATCACAATCCCTAGAGAATGATAGGAAGGACAAATAAAACGGTCTGTCATCACCCAAATCTGAAATATGATGGAAAAGATATATTAGGTTGTATCCCAAGGCAACCTCTCAGAATAGCTTGATTGATTATTGTCATTATTTCCTCATCTTTATATCCTGCCTTTTTTCTTCTTGCAAGGAACCAAGGCAGCTTACATAGTCCTCCAATCCATTTCATCCTGACAGCAACTCTGTGAAATAGGTTAGACTGAGAGTGAGTGACCTGCTGAAAGTCGCCCGATGAGTTTCATGGCTGAGTGGGGACTAGAGCCCAGAACTTCCAGATCCCCAGTCCAACACAGGTTGCCACTATGCACCATTTTGTATTTATTCAGGTGATGATCGTATAGACCATGCAGATCCTATAGAGCATGTAGATCCTATAAATTATTCTTGTTAAAGGGCACATTATTTATTCCTGTCTGAAATACCATAACACACATCCAAGCTCCACTACCATGTAGTGGTTCAGCTCCAACAAGTAAAGTTTAACTGATTGGGATGAATAATGCTTTGACACAGAAGTGTCCATTACACCTTGTGCCTTCAAGAATACTGCACTGCACAAACCTTTCATTTTGTTTGAATCATTGGAGGCTGTTACTTGGGCTATTAACATGAGGAAACCATACATAGAGAATCATGAGAAATCTTTCCTGTTGTGAGCACCTCTTTCTCTCCTTTCCACTTCCCAGAAGATCAAGGTGAAGGATGTCTAACTACAGCCTTTTTTTGAATTAGGTTGCCAAGTCAGGGCTGGCTTGGCAATACAAAGTGAATAATATAAAAGCCATTAACGAGAAATAACCATCAATTTAATATTCACTCTAGTTTTGTTTCATTGTGTATGTGTGTGTTTCCATGCTGCCCAATAGGAAAACTCTCTGGGAGGTAAACTATAATTAATGAATAATTTCCCATTAAAAAAATACCTTTTCTCTTAGCTGCCTAGAATATACTGTTTACAAGAAATACAAGCCTCTAATTTTCTCCTTCTGTATGAATAGGTGCTGCCTATTGCCCTGTGTAATGACAAATGCAATCCAGGTTATAGAAGGAAAAAGAAAGAGGGAGAACTGTTTTGTTGCTATGATTGTGTTTCATGTCCAGATGGGAAGATTTCTGATCAGAAGGGTAGGCAACATTATGTGTAGTACTATGCATTATTCATTCCATGATATTTTTACCTGGTTTTGTTTTACTATAAGGAGGTATGTGGGAGGAATCTGAAGTGAGGGCTCATCTCCCAGGACTCCAGTCTGCTTTGTCACACCCATGAGTCCACATTCCTGGTGAACATGCCCACCACATTCCTGGTGAACTTCTCCCTAATTAGGTAGAAAGCAGCCTGATTGCTATATGCACTGTCAACTTCATATGAGTTTTCAAATCATTCTGAAATGCTCCTGAATGGAAAGAGGAATGCATGCAAAGAATGGAAAATTATATTCCAGTGATGCTCAAGAACCACCAAGTGCCTTCAGGAAATAATGTTTCATGAAATATTCATGAACTAGTTTCTAAAGTATTTCCTAATGAAACTATTGAAAGATACAAGAAATGCTATCATTATCTGAATTGTTAGAGGGATGAGCAATAGTTCTAGGGTACAGCATATGTTTTGTATAAAAAGGTCCTAGTTTCAGTTTCTGTCAGAAACTGGCTTTTTTCCCCCAGTAATTTTTTTTGTTTTTGTTTTTGTTTTTGTTTTTTGTTTTGTTTTTTTTTTTGCTTTTTGCTTTTAACCAAGTAGGGCTGAGGAGTAAAGCAGCTATCAAGTGCTATAGGACATAATTCTGCAGATCATAGAGTAAGTCCTGTCTTAATTGCTGTGTCACAAAGTCTTCCTACTCAGACAAAACCTGCACAGCTTTGCTTGAATAGCAGCACAGAAATCCAAGTTTCCATAAAGTTGGGTGACCCCTGAGGGCACCTGTGTGACTAGTACTAAAACATTCCAATTTCCGCTGATTCCTGTCTTTTGCTGAAGCAGCATGGACTCAATAACCCTGCACTTACTGTCTTCAGCTACTTTGCTCCTGAAACAACTGCTTCCCTACTTGATTTCAGCCTTCCAAACTGCATGCCCACACTTGAGATTATTGTCTGAAAAAAGCATCTGAAAAGGTCCATTTGGTGGCTTCTGCTGGGGAAAAAGGCAGATTTTGAACACTGAATTACAGGGTGGATGAACCTTGGTTTATTCCACACTGTGGAATCAGTGCCATTCCCATAGCTCACATTCTATACTCTAATTTACACATAAGAATTTCTATCAACTTGCTCTTGTAGGATGTTGTAACAAAAAGTTCACTCTAAATATCCCAAAATTTCACCATCTCACTTTTTATTTTGATGTTTGCTTGCTTATAAAGAAACATGCCCAGGGCATAAAGTACCACAGAATAGCTGTGTCGTGTGTTTTTAGTCCCTTAGAATGAGGCACAAAGCAAGATAATCTTGATCTCACTTTAAAACTAAGAACATTAGCTAAAACCTCCAGCAAAGAAAATTAACATCCAATTGGGAAAAAGCTGTGCTGAGATTTTTTTTAAAGTAGGCCAAACTATTGTTATGCAGAGAACAAGTCAATTTGCCTAATACTGTTATGTAGATTTCCTCATTTTGCATAGACTGAGGAAGGATTAAATCTTAAATTACCTGTACTTGCTAAAGCTGGGTGGGGGAGGCAGGGAGACATTGATTCTTTATTGCAACCATCACCCACCAAGGGGGAAAATTCAGCCAAAATGAAGACTTTTCATATGCTGCATTTTTCTCACCCAAGGTACTTTTTTACTGGGGTCAGAAATGACCCCATTATGCATCTAATGCTTGTTCTTAAAGTGGGAAAAGGGTTAATACAATAAGTGGATTTCTAGAAAACAATGTGTGCATATTTCTATAGCTACCTCTAACTCATGTGGTTTACGAGCATTATACCAGGCTTTTTACTTCATAAGATTGTATATGAGGACAATCTCAGTATGATAATTATGTTCTGTTTTTCAGATATGGATAGCTGCTTCCAGTGTCAAGAACATAAATTTCCAAACAGGAACAGAGATCAATGCTTTCTCAAGGTCATAACATTCTTCTCCTTCACAGAGCCTTTGGGTATCACTTTAATTTTTGTAGTGCTGTTTTTTGCTTTAATCACAATTCTGGTGCTAGGGATTTTCATCAAGAACCAGGACACCCCCATAGTGAAAGCCAATAACTGGTATCTCACCTATTGTCTCCTCTGCTCACTATTGTTCTGTTTCCTCTGCTCTTTGTTGTTCTTTAGTCAGCCTCACACTGTGACATGCTACTTACAACAAGTTGCTTTTGGCATCATCTTTGCAGTGGCAGTTTCTTGCATTCTGGCAAAAACCATCACAGTGGTTCTGGCTTTCATGGCTACCAAGCCAGGATCTAGGATGAGCAACTGGGTGGGGAAAAGACTGACCACTTTTATTATGTTTGGTTGTTCTTTTATCCAAGCCATTATTTGCACTATTTGGCTAAGTACTGCTCCTCCATTCCCACATTTTGACATGCACTCTCTGCCTGAGGAAATCATCCTGGAATGCAATGCAGGCTCAACCACTCTGTTCTACTGTGTCCTGGGGTACCTGGGACTGCTGGCGATTGTCAGTTTCAGTGTGGCTTTCCTAGCCAGGAAGTTGCCAGATGCTTTCAATGAAGCCAAGTTCATCACTTTCAGCATGCTGGTCTTTTGCAGTGTTTGGCTCTCTTTTGTTCCTTCTTATGTAAGCACCAAGGGGAAATACATGGTAGCTGTGGAGATCTTCTCTATCTTAGCTTCTAGTGCAGGATTGCTGACTTGCATCTTTTTCCCCAAATGCTACATTATTGTGCTGAGACCTGAGCTGAACAATAGAGGACAGTTAATCAGAAGAAAATGAAGAAGGGGAAATATGTTTTAAGAAGTCAGTTTTATTAATTTAACTCCCTCTAGTCTGTACAGAATTGCCCCATTAATTTTGCTGTCCTTCATTCCATCTTGAGCACAACAGGAAATAAATGGTTGTTGCTGAGATCTCCATTTTGGCCTCTACTATTGCTTTCCTGCATTGTAATTTTTCCCTAGATGTTACCTAATTATCCTGAGGCCTACCTTGAACAGCAAAGATCAGCTGATAAGGAGAAATATTTAAGTGGATGCTTACTTTTCTGTTTTCTTTCAATTTATTTATTTTTATCTAGGAACTAACCCAAGAAACATATTTCCAAATTCCTTTTTCTTCTCCAGTTCAACCTTCTGAGCATGGTATATTCCATGATACCATTTTCCATCTAGTTTGTTGAAGCTTACATAATAATAAAAAGGATTATTGAAATGGAAAAATGCTGTGTGATATAACTTCTTGTGCATTGTGGTGAAGGTTAAGTGTCTAATGGCAAAATTAATCAAAATGAGTAATAATATTTTTGGACATGCAGAGAAGCTTTCATTAGTCATATTTAACCCCATGAGAACCAAGTATATACTCTTTTGTGTGAGTTATTCTGTAAAGATTTAGAATTCAATTTCAGGATGTGGAGAATCTTAGCAGCCTTTCCAATTTGGACAGTAATGAAGAGAAGGAGGGAGAGATACAGATATAAACAGAAATGTTTGGTTTTAAGCATAAGGAAAAGTTTAACAGGGCAAATCTTATGAACATCCTCAGGTTGGACAAGGTGATAGTATCAATTAAAATAGGTTAAACTACTGTTAAGGATACATTAATCCAGCCTTCAAGTAGGAGCCAAACCACACAATAGTTTAAAGATGTAACTAGCAGCTACATCATGTTTTCTCACCCTCAAGTGTAAGTGTTGGAGACCTAATCCAAAAGGAAGCTTGGTGAGACTAGGGAATATTAACCTTTTACCCCTGATTTGGTCCCAATCTGGATCAGTGAGGATGGGGTGATTTCCAAAAAGCGATCCATTGAAACAAATTAATTCCTACATGGGAAGGGAAACACATTTATTAGATTTATATCCACTTTTCAACTGGAGTCAAAAAGTAGCTTAGAATGCTTTTAAAACAAGAGAAACAAGGACCACATGTTTGAGGCAGCACAAAAGAGCAGTGAAACACATAGAGTAGAAGCCCACATTTAAGGTTCTTTCCCACTGGGTAGTTGGCATTTAAGCCTGTAAGCGTAGTAAGCTTACAACTGGAATAGGCCCTGATGTTATTTGGATCTGATCCTTTTCTTCTCAAGGACAAAGCGAGTAATAGTGAAGCACCTAATCCACATTGGAACTACACTGAATGACAAAGGGCTGATCTACCAGTCCCTATGCTAGGTAACCAGTTAGCTTCTGGTCTCCAGATAAAATGAAACTTTATTACCAATTTTTAGTGGATAGAACTAACAATTGATATATAGGTCAGGTAAGATGAGGTTCATGTATCCTTCAAGCTGGCATTGAACTGATATTTCCATGGAAACACTATTGAAAATAACAGTGACTGCCATACAGCCAGCAGATTCTTACAAATACTACCCAAATAGCAACGAGAGTTAACTCCAGCTATCCCAAATGTTTCCCCTTCTTTGCCTTTCTGGGGGCATAATATTAAGACGAAATATTACCTTTAATAATTAGTATGCAGCTATTTTTTCCTTATTCAGAATTAACTACAGAGAAAAAATACAGATTGAGCCTGTACTGTGGTAGGTAAGAAAGGCTTTAATGCTTTGGCATTTCTGCTATCCCAGTCCAACCTGCATGCCTGCAATTTCTGCTAGGGAAGAGAGCACCCCTGAAAGCCTGTCTGTCTTCCTGTGTAAATTACACAAGTGTGGGTGCTCCAATTCCACTCTGAAGCACAACAAAATGAAAAGGGTTCAGGTGAAGCTACTCCTAATGCTATTATACTAGTCTAGATCAGGTACCTTGTTCTTACTTTTGAGTAAGAAAAGAATTGGCTGCAGGTGCTTGCTACATATTTAAAATGACCTCTAGTTTAAGTATTCCACTATGTTTCACCTGAGTCCATACTACTTCCATGTGAATCTCCTCTCTGTTGTCAACTGTAGGGGATATGTTCTTCAGTTGCTAACATTTATTTATTTATTTAAAACATTTGTATGCCGTCATCCCGTGCCTTGGCATCTCAGGACAGCTCACAATACATACAATTAAAATACAATAAAATGATCTTTATAAATAAAAAAATTCAATAAGAGATTACATAAAAACAAAAAATAGAAAACAAAGAGACCAACTTTTCAACACTAAAGTATTAGTTTTTAAAATAGCAATTACTTAAAAAGGTTTTAACCTGGTGCCAAAAAGAATATAAACTCGGTGCCAGGCGCACCTCTCCGGGGAGCACATTCCATAATATGGTGCTGCACACTCCACAATTCTCTGGTAAGATGACTGTAAACCCTACAATCATCTGATATTAGTACACTAATTCCATGTTCAATTTCACACATGGGTTTCCTGAGGTTAGTAACCCATTCATAATGATTTCTGAAATCTTATACTTCTAACATAAAATAACATGCATCTCTGTGCAGTTCATTGATTGTGGATGGGAAGGTCTGCACCAGCCTGGTCTTTTGTTTCATCAGAAGGATATGCTATCATCAAAGGAGAGGTCGTGTTAAGAAATTTCCTGGTAGCTGATCAAGAGCTACGCAAACTGGACATCCGTACTCAACTTTGCTGCTTGCCATGGAAGGTGCATTCCTGTGGTTGAGACTGCTCCTCTGCCTGCTGCAGCTACCTCAAATAAAATGCAAAGCTCAAGTGGAGATATGCACCATGACTGATCTCTTCCACATACCACATAAGTATTGTGAAGAAGGTTGCATAATTATCGGGGAGATTGCTACACAGTTTGACTGTCTCTTTGATAAAATGTCCTTCACTGAAAACCCTGCAAAAAACTTTGTCAATGAACTCATGTAAGGATTCTTTCCTCTACTATAAACCAGGCTAAGCCATTTTCTTAAAGGGTTGGATCTAAATTTAGGCATATGTCACTGTGCTGATGAAAATGGACTTCCCTAGTCCCTTATTGCCACAACTGGCCTTCCACCCAGCTAAATTTTAGCACAGAGGACTGGTGGACCCTGCTGAATGGGGTGAGGTGTAGCAGGAGGGGCTTCATTGAAAACTGGGCAGAGCCAATGGACGGCACATCCTGGATGTAACCCCGTGACTAGAGATAGATTGTTTGAATAGATGATGCAGGTTTATAAATACATGATGATGCTTTAACATGACTACTGACTTTCTAAACATCTGTGGTATCAGAAATGTTTTTTCCCAGCCCATTCACCTCCTAGGCATTATTGGATCTGGCTAATATAGAAGCTGTTGCATCCAAGCCACATGCTCCCTCATGCCCTAAACCAAGGACCTTTTCAGAAAACACCCTGCATGTTGTGCATTTCTTTAGCTTGCTCACATAGGACAAATTCTTCCATCTGCATAATGTCTTTGTTTTTGTCTCCTTTTGTCAGTTCTGTATTCCATTCTGTATTTTACCAGCTTTTGTCAAATAACATTTATTTATGTCTTCCACATCATCATCATCAGTAGTAGTGGTATTAAATGTAATCCTCCTGCTATCTTTATGAGTTCTCACATTTACTATTTGTTTTGGGATTTATGCCTGAGCTCTGCCCTCCTCTTCTGGCCATAGGCCTCAGCGCAAGTGTATCTGTGATCATGTGTATAGTGATGTATCCTCAAACAGATCTCTTATTTATTTATTTATTTATTTATTTATTAAAACATTTTTATGCTGCTCCATTCGCCGAAGACTCGGGGCGGCTTACAAAAATAAATTAAAAATAATTATAATATTAAATTAAAAAATATAAACATTAGATTAAAAATACAAAAGTACAATATAAAATAAGCCACCCTGGCCAGATAAAATCCAATAATATTAACAGTTAAAATGCTGCTTAAATAAAAAGGTCTTCACCTGGCGCCGAAAAACAAATAATGACGGCGCCAGGCAGACCTCTCTGGGGAGCGCATTCCATAACTTAGGCCCCACTGCAGAGAAAGCCCTCCTCCGAGTACCCACCCTCCTAATTTCTTTCACGGAGGGTTCCCGGAGAAGGGCCTCTCCCATCGATCTCAAGGGGTGGCTGGGCATATATGGATGTAAGCACTCCTTCAGGTAACCAGGACCCAAGCCGTTTAGGGCTTTATAGGTCATCACCAACACCTTGAATTGGGCCCAGACTTCAATGGGAAGCCAGTGAAGCTGACGGAGAACTGGAGTCAGGTGAACATAACGCCCAGTCCCCGTCAGCAGCCTGGCAGCTCTATTCTGAACCAATTGAAGTATCTGGACTGTCTTCAAGGGTAGCCCCACGTAGAGTGCGTTACAGAAGTCAAGACGGGAAGTCACCAGCACATGTGTCACTGTCGCGAGGCAGTCGTTCTCCAGGTAGGGGCGCAGCTGATGAATCAGCCGAAGCTGGAGGAAAGCACTCCTCGCTGCTGCTGTCACCTGAGCTTCCAGTGAAAGCTCTGGGTCAAGGAGCACTCCCAGGCTGCTTATCAATATCTGTCTCATGCAGTGGTGTATTATGCATTAAACATAATTAAATCCTTTCATTAGAGCAACACCAAAAAAAAATCAGCACATTGTATCCATGGCATTTGCAGTGAAGGAAGTTAATGAGGACCCCAAGATTCTGCCAAATATAAGCCTAGGATTCCACCTCTTTGACAGTTACCTAAGCTCAAGAATGACTCATCAAAATACTCTGCAACTTCTTTCTGCCTCAGAAAGGGTCATTCCAAACTTCAAGTGTTTCAAGCAAAAGAACCTGAATGCTGTTATTGGAGGCCATGATTCAGAAATATCTCCTCAGATGGCTACTCTGCTAAGTATCTACAAGATTCCAAAGTTAAAAAGAGTGCATGG